CAAATGTGGAGCGGCATCGACGGCACCTGAGTGACACGGATATTTTTCAAGTGTGCAAAGGAGGGGTGGAGACAACTATACATATACTCCGTGACTGTCCAGCAATGTCGGGTATATGGACTAGACTTGTTCCTGTAAGGAAACGACAAGCATTCTTTGCAATGTCGTTGCTAGAATGGTTATATGAAAATTTGGGTGGCGTAGAAGAACGGGAAGGCGGTTCATGGGCTACGATTTTTGCGTTAGCTACTTGGTGGGGATGGAAATGGAGGTGTGGTAATGTGTTTGGAGATACCCGATTATGGAGAGATAGGGTTCAGTTCTTAAAAGATGCGGCTAAGGAGGTGAGTATAGCAAATTCTTTACATAAAGATACAAGAGAAGCTGCTGGTCGGGTGGAGAAGATGATAGGTTGGGTCGTACCACAAACGGGCTGGTACAAGGTGAACACGGACGGGGCGTCGCGTGGGAACCCGGGGTTGGCTACGGCAGGAGGAGTGGTACGAGATGATGCAGGTGGTTAGGTACGCGGATTTGCATTGAATATTGGTCGCTGCTCGGCAACGTTGGCAGAATTATGGGGAGTTTATTACGGACTCTATATAGCTTGGGAGAGAGGAATTACGCGGTTGGAGCTTGAGGTGGATTCAGAATTGGTGGTTGGATTCTTGACGTCGGGGATTGGAGACTCTCACCCGTTGTCTTTCCTGGTACGCTTGTGCCATGGCTTTTTATCGAAGGACTGGAGGGTCCGGATTGTTCACGTATATAGGGAAGCTAATCGTCTCGCTGACGGATTAGCTAACTATGCGTCAATGTTATTCCATTAGAGTTGGACCCTATTTTAAGGGAGGATATTGATGGACCGTTGCGTCCACGGCAAGTCTGTATATAATTGTTTTTAGTTATTTAATAAAACCCGGGAGAATTTCTCCCGGTTGCCCACTAAAAAAAACTACAGGGTCATTAATTACATTTTGTTGATAGGTGGAGACTACGTCATTGTGAATCCACTACACCAATTAATCATTGACTTTGGATTCTTATCAGAAAAGGATCCGTGGGTTTATATGAAAGGTCGATTGATCATTAATGAGTAATTCCATAACTTAATTGTCTATATTACTCGATTTTGCAAACTATTTTCTTCAGTCGAAAATAGAGAAGAAAGAAAGAAAAAAAATGTCAATCTTCTGTACGATCTCCTTACCCAATTTCTTTAGTTTCGTGTTGTATGTCTTCTTTTTTAAAAATGGACGTTATAAAAGTCAAAGTCAACTTAATAAATAGCAAAATTTTGTAGAAAACAAAATGTTAAAATCTTCTAAATTTTTTTATGATCCATGTGAGGTATTGAAATTACATATTATATTCGCTCCATCGGAGTAGGGATTGGGTTACTACTACCTTTCCTGTAGCAATTATATTTTTTTTTAAAAACTGTAAATAACAAATACTTATAACTTATATGAGTTAAGTATTATCGTGGTTGTTGCGTGGAAATGACATTATGATTCGGTATCATCATCTATACTCAGAGCCAAACCAAATATTTTTTTTTTTTTTTTTGTATGAATGTAAAATTTATTCACAAAAAAAAGACGGTTTTACAATAAATGCAACATCAAACTGAAAAAATCTGAGTTTTTGAGAGGGATTATAAAGAAGGGAAAACTAGCGACTATGGGTTTGGAACCAATATCGCAGTCCGCCTTCATAAGTGTGTGAGCCCGTCATAATTAAGGTGCTCAGCCGGTTACGAACATTCTTGTCGATCAGTTTTGCTAGCATGGATGCTGGGGTTGGTGACTCGCCGTGTCGTCTCCCATTCCGTTCTCGCCATAGACTGTGGATAGATATCTGAAACACATATCTCAAAACAAACAAATGTAGCTTTGAGGTAGATGGAGCCGTGAGTAAAGGAAGCAGAGTTTCCCATCGTGTTGTGTTGTGTTGCCCAAGCATGTCTCGTGTGAGGGCTGACCAGACGTGAGACGAATACGGACGGAGAAAAAGAGGTGTTCTCTTGTTTCTATGTTCCCATCACACAAATTACAATCACCATTTGCTGCAGCATTCCACTGTAACTGTCTATCTCCCGTAGCTAAACGATTACGAATGGCGATCCAAGTGATGAATGAGTACTTAGGCGTTGAGTGGGGGAACCATACACCCTTATACCATTCACACACCGGATTAGTGTCTCGTATCGTATACCAAGTGTCCTTTGAAATGAACGTTCCGAGCCATTGTTCCTTTTCCAAGTGTCCTCAAACCAAATATTTAACAAAGAGATCTAAGCTTACGTGAACATACATAGACCAAAAATTCTAAATAACCAAACCGGTCTTGCAAAAACGAATATATGAACCGAAAACTTGGTTTAATTACCGTCTTATGCTTCCATGTTTTTATCTTTTTTGCCATGGAACCATGTGTATAGATTCCAAATATTTGAATTGTAACATAAACTTTTTTCATTATCTATGAAATATTTACAATTTAGCAAAAAAAAAAAAAAAAAAAAACTACTGACAGCCCAAATTATATAGTCAACTATAGATCAAAGGATAAAGTCAACTGACGACCAAAAAAAAAATGATAAAGTCAACTTTAAAAATGTCAACGTTGGTAAGAAAACCTTTACGTTTGGCAAAAGAAACGTTAATATTAGTTTTTTTTTTAATGTTGATATTAACAATGTTTAGTGCTAGTCTCTTAATGAGTCTTTCACCAAAAAAATTATAAAATAATTAAAAAGTAAAAAAGAGAATAAAGTGAGTCTCTCAAGTGAGAGACTTAGAGAACTTTGTGAGAGACTCATTTGATACATGTTTCACTATAATAGGTTATAAGTTTTATTTATAGTTTAAATTTTAAATAAAAAACTATTATATATAAAATCTAATAAAATAATATATTTGAGAGACTAATATGAGTTTTTTCCACTGCATATGCTATTAGTTGCCAAAAGAAGAGAATAAACTGCCTAATAATATCGACGTAAAATGAATACCTCTAATATCGACGTAATAAAAGAATCAATATAACTATTGTTGGTGTCGGATCCCGCAGTTCGGATCCGGCCCGGAAAGATAGTGGATCAATAAGACGAAGTGGGCCGTCGGCCCGGTCCAGGGGACGAAAAGAGCGGCCCAATAAGTTCAAGCCCAGTTCGAGTAAAACGGCGGGATCCCACGAGTTAAATGAAAGGCGGGTTGCACGGGATGTGCGAGATCGGGAAGATTCGAAACGGAAGCAATAATGGAGGCGAGATCTGCGGTTTGATGAGCGACTTCGGTTTCAAATCATGTAATTATAAATAGGAAACGAAAACCATTGTATTGGGGAGGAAATTTTCTTGAGCAATAAACAGATACACACATTTTACTCTCTTGTTTTCTTCTTACGATTGTTGTTCGAATTAGCAAGACTAGACGATCCGATACACATCATAAAATTTGTATTGCGGATTCCGACATCCACAACTATTAACAACCCAAATTGTAAAATAAACTTTTATATTGGTTGTCAAAAGAATAGAAGAAACTGCCTATCAATTTCAATTTGGAGAAAATATTGAACTAAAATTATTAGACTATAGGTCTAAGCAGGATAGCAATAAATTTGAATGGCGGGCAATAATAATACATCTAGTTATAATAAATTACAAAATTTTGGAAATGTCATGGATGCAATTAAGATTTAAGGGCCCGAGCAACCCCCTGACACAAAGATGTAAGCCCATATATAACCAGAATACAAGTTGTTGTTTGGATGCTTCGAACATATTTCTGTTTAGATAATATACGCCCTTTGTCCCATTTTATAAGATATTTTGTGTAAAAGCATAAAGATTAAAGAATAATTAATGTTTACTTTCTTATAGGAATTCAGCCAATAGAAAAAAAGACTGCAGAATTTAAATGGTCATAACATACTAAATAAACATAAATTATGCATAAAAATTTGGAAAAATATTATAAAATAGAACAAAAAAAAATGCTAAAACATCTTATAATTTGGGACAGAGGGAATATTACTCATGGTGAAGGTGACGAATCCTTTAAGCTTTAAAGACGTTGATGACTATTGTGGCATATCAGCTTTGACAATCATTGTATGTATATCATCTATAGGAGATATAGGATTCAAAGTTTGTTTTCTAGGACATTTAGCACGAACTTATATTATGTTGTAGTTTTGGTGTGATGTGATATTTTTCGCAGGAAAATATATCGTTGTTATATTGTTGATGTAGCACACTTTTTAAAAGGTACAATTCATGATTAGCTTTGAAAGGGATTAGTTTTCTATATAATTTTTTTTTTGTCAATCACATATTCATTAAAAAAATAACTTCATGATTGGTTAATCAATTAGGAGAAGAAGAGTTTACAAAAATAACATCAGAAAATAAAAGTCTACAAGAACGGACTAAGCAGTCCGTCTTAAAAATACATAAACGAGAAATATGAAAAAGCGAGAAGAGGGGAAAAGAGACACGGAGCAATTCCAAATCATCTAGCTGATTAGAGAATGCGGGCCATTCTTTAGGATACTCTACCATCGAGACTAACTCAAAGCAATCTGTTTTAAATGTCTGACAATCAATCCTTCTTGAAAGGATGTTCCTCATAGCCCAAATTAAAACCTCCAACTCCGAGTGAAGAGGGGAGAGACACCTCCGAAGACATTTTGCACCAAGCAGCAGAGTTTGATCAGTTCCTTGAAAACACCATCATCCTATACCCATAGTTGGGTCCAAAGATTTCTAAGAGCCATCAATCCGACACTTTATAGATTGTATTAGGCTTTCCATAATATCCGTTATATTGCTATTTTCCGAAGGTTTCTATATATTTTGATTTTGGAAACTTAACTTTTTAAAACCATGAATTCTTTAGATATACAGTAATTGACATTGAATGAATGAATGAATTTACTGACTTTCTTTACTCCTAATATGATTTTGATCTATTCAAGTAGATGATTAGATTATTATCTTAAGAAAACTACACGTTGCTAGTTGCAACCAAATATATGATTAATCCAAGTAATAGTTATATTATATAAATAAACTGTCTATATAACTCCCAATCGAATCAGATCAACAAAGAAAAAAAGAAACAGAGTATCAAAAAATGTCAATCTTGCTCTGTTTCCTCTGTCTTTTACCTGTTTTCTTAGTTTCCTTATCAATTTTCTCAATAAAACTCAAACCCTCAAAATGGAAGCTTCCTCCGGGACCAAAGACGCTCCCGATCATCGGAAACTTACACAACCTCAAAGGACTGCCACACACATGTTTTCGAAATCTCTCCCAAAAATTTGGACCAGTGATGCTTCTCCACTTCGGATTCGTCCCCGTGGTCGTGATCTCATCGAAAGAAGGAGCAGAAGAAGCTCTCAAGACCCAAGATCTTGAATGTTGCAGCCGACCAGAGACGGTTGCGACAAGAATGATCTCTTACAACTTCAAAGACATCGGATTCGCTCCTTACGGTGAGGAATGGAAAGCGTTGAGGAAGCTCGTGGTTATGGAGCTTTTGAACACGAAAAAGTTTCAGTCTTTCAGGTATATAAGAGAGGAAGAGAATGACTTGTTAATCAAGAAGCTAACCGAATCCGCTCTGACACAATCCCAGGTGGATCTGAAGAAGACCCTTTTCACGCTAGTCGCGAGTATCGTGTGCAGGCTCGCTTTCGGGATAAATATTCACAAGTGCGAGTTCGTAGACGAGGACAACGTTGCGGATCTAGTTAACAAGTTTGAGATGCTAGTCGCTGGTGTTGCGTTCACTGATTTCTTCCCTGGAGTTGGTTGCCTTGTCGACCGGTTCTCAGGTCAGAACAAGACACTGAACAATGTTTTCTCGGAACTCGACAATTTCTTCCAAAACGTGCTCGATGATCATCTTAAACCTGGAAGAGAAGTATCAGAGAGCCCTGATGTTGTTGATGTGATGATTGATCTGATGAAGAAGCAAGAGAAAGATGGAGAATCTTTCAAGCTCACAACAGATCATCTCAAAGGAATCATCTCGGTAAATCTTCTTCTTAGACCGCAATACCTCTAAACTCTTGTAAAGATTTGAACTTACGCGTCTGTGTTTTGTAACAGGACATATTTCTTGCAGGAGTAAACACAAGCGCCGTCACTTTAAACTGGGCGATGGCCGAGCTGATCAGAAACCCGAGAGTGATGAAGAAAGTGCAAGACGAGATTCGGACAACACTTGGGGACAAGAGGGAGAGAATCACAGAGCAAGATCTAAACCAACTTCACTACTTCAAGCTTGTGGTCAAGGAGACATTCAGGTTACATCCAGCAGCTCCACTTTTGCTTCCAAGAGAGACATTGTCTCATGTCAAGATCCAAGGCTACGATATTCCCGCGAAAACCCAAATGATGATCAACATCTACTCGATTGCACGTGATCCAAAGCTATGGACAAACCCTGATGAGTTTAACCCTGACAGGTTTCTTGACAGTTCCATAGATTACAGAGGACTAAACTTTGAGCTGTTACCATTTGGTTCTGGCCGGAGAATCTGTCCCGGGATGACGCTGGGAATCACCACCGTGGAATTGGGACTGTTGAATTTGCTGTACTTCTTCAATTGGGAAGTGCCTGTAGGGAAGAATGTGAAAGACATAGACTTGGAAGAAACAGGATCGATCATTATTAGCAAGAAAACAACTCTTGAGCTTGTTCCACTTGTTCATCACTGAAATGACGATCATGTAACAATTAGTCAATAAGATTATGTATTTGTACTAGATTGTTACCCGCGGTACACCGCGGGTTAATTATTTGATTTTTTTTGTCTTTTTATAAACTGATGAATTTGTGATACATTGCGAGTCACATGCGTTGTAACTAAAAATGAAAATTTTAAGTTGTATTTGTTTTGTTTAGTGTTTAAAATTGTATAATTGTATTTTGATTTGTTAATCCCAGGATTTCACCCGTGATATATTATCCCGTATTAATATCAATCCAAATCTGACCCGTCCCACCATATAATCATGTCCCGTAAAATTAAACATCATTTTGTTATTTCTTTTAATAAAACTTTTATTTAAAAGACATATAATTCGAGTCAATTTAAAAGTTTGCTTTCAAATAGTTTCTATAATATATATATATATATTTTCAAATTAGTGTGTATTTTTAGACCAACCCGTAAAAATATTTTAAAAATGTATATTAAAATACTAAAATTGTATTTCGATTTCTTAATTTTAAGATTTCACCGTGGTATATTGTCACGTTTTAGATAATTGTCCAATTCAGCTTCTTTATCTTGACTTGGTTGTATTTGTATTATATATAAAAAAAATCATTATCTTAAAACAGAGTGATATAAAGTATAAACACAAAGTATTTTATAACCATTAAATTATGAGAATTGAATTATTTAATTAGAACTAGTTAGGATTAAAAAACAAATTAATTAATTAGATCCGCAAGACGCGTTACTATATTTGGGTCCGCCGCCCACGTTGCCGTGAATAAAAAAAAGTATTAATAGAAACCAATTATCATATATATATGCTTAAATTAATTAACAGGTAGGATTAGTTAACATTATCAAACAAAGAAATGATTAAAAATAGAAACGATCACTCTCAGCAAGAAAACAACTCTTGAACTCATTCCATTTCTTTAATACTGAAATTTAAATGAAACAAAATAGTGAAATAAAAGAAAAAGAAAGCTTCTTGTGAGACAACTAATGTGATCATATATATGTTACAACAATGATGAAAATTGAGATGATACATAAAATCAATAGTAGCCTCTGTAATAATTATTCTTGTAATTCTGATTGTCGTTCTGTTGATTTATTTCAGCAGTATATTCGGAGGACAAGGTACTCGTCGTCTTCATACTTCTTCCTTCAGGTTCCTTGAGATACATCCGGTCATCTAAGTACGCTGTGATTTCGGCTATGATCAATAGTAGATCAGACGTGTCCTTTTTCGCCTTCAATTTCTGTAAGAAATGCTCTCTCACAACATTCACAACCTTCACAAACTGAGATTTGTACCGCTGATGAAGACCAAACCCTGCCGTCTACACACAAACATAGACGACTGTTATGGTTTGAAGACAAGACTTTTTTATTTAGAATCGGTAACTGCAAACCTGGAGAAAGGAGTTCAAGGCTGTTGCAGTGGCTCTGTTGGCTGGGATTTTGTTAAGAAACCGGGCTAACCAAGCCCATCCATGTTCGATCCCATGAACGTTGGTAGCATTGCCACCGCGGATATCGGTCTGTAATTACCATTAGAAAAAGACTCACATTAGGGGACTATGGAAATAACAATGCATAAGAGATAGTTGCATATAAGAGGCAAAAACCTGAACAAGTGCACCGTAGAGCCTCATTATAGAATCTAGGCGTTCATATGCGTCTGAATCCCACGCTGACTGAATTCAATTCATTAGAGATAATTAATAAGAAAGACAATCTTTTTTTTAACAATTTTGTCAAAATAACTTTTTTTAAGAAGTTTATGTACCTGTGAGTTTATAATATGCTTTGGAACAGTGTAAATGCAAGCTTTGTGGAATTCAGCAAGAAGAATATCCATAGCTTGTGGAAACTGTGGGCACCAATGGTAGATGATATTCAGTAACAAGAACAAAAAATGCACAGTAAAAATATTGAAAATCAAAAGTGATTTTGTACCTGGGAGGTGATGTAAACAATGACATAGCTGGATGCAAAAGGGTTTGGTTTCTCCTTAGTGGTGACCATCTGAAAGAATCAGCAAAACGTTAATGCCATCGGTCTCAGTTTTCTAATCACAGAGTCCAGAAGATAATTCAACATATGAACGTATCAAAGAGTTCTTCACCAGTTAGATCCGAGCACAACAATTTGAGTCATTTTCAACATTCAACAATACAACATGAACAAGTGAATGTTAAACAGACCAGACATAGAAGTTACCTTCTTTGCAAAAGCTGCAATACTTATGGATACCGGACAACGAGGGTCTTTAAATATTTTGACAATTTCATTGATTTTCCCACTGCAAAGCCCAAAGCAAAAGTAGTTAAGAACAAGGAAGAATTAACCAAACTCCATGGGAAACGCCTAAGTAAGGTTACACCAAACCCTCCTTAAATTAAATGTATCTAAATCTTTCTAACCAAAGGCTTAAGAGTGACATTTTCACAAGTTAAACAAGATCAAGGCTATCGGAATATAATGCTAAAAGAAGCTATGCATATACCACTAAAGGACAGGAAAGGCAAAGCTGCAATGGAATGTAACAAATAATCTTAAAACCCTGTCTGGGGAAAAACTGATAAATTACGGGCAGAAACCATGAACCATACCTTACACTATCCTTTGTCCCACTTATTTGCCTTATAACCCTTCCAATATGCTTTTCAAAACTGCTAAAGTTCTACAAGTAGTAAAAGAGCAACATGACTTGTGAGAAAATGTTGATGATAAGACAGATAAAAATGTAAAAAAATGTATATACCTCATTTGAACGTGACTTTAGCGATTGGTTCATTGTTTCTAATTCTTCGAGCTTTTTCAATCTGTGGTTCTCCAATGTCAAAGCATTTTCTGCAGCTCGGATTGATTTACCTTGCACGATTAATAAAAAAATAAACACAGCAAGAAATGAGATCACAATCTTCAATATGATAAAGAAAGAACAATCACAGCAAGATAGATGAAAAATATGTATTAAACAAAAGATAGCTCACCCCCAGCTTGAGCATTTGATGTAGCTGAACCCCCCGTAACACTCTCTATCACAGCCTTCTGTTCCGCAAGTTTTTGTTCGGCAGCTTTGCGATCTGCTACTTCTTTTTCAGCTACTTCTTTGGCTGCCTTTCTCTCAACTTCTTTCTTTTCTTCTTCAGCTCTGATTTTTGCTAGCATTTCAGCCTCTGCGTGAGCTTTTTCTTGACTTATTTTCTCTTCTTGATGAGCCCTTTCCTTCCTCCTGGCCTCCTCCTGAGCTTCCTCGCTCCTTATCTTTCTTTCTTCTATTTGCGATTTAATTTTATGTTCACGTTGGACTGCAGTCAGATGGGTATCAAGTGCTTCAGCACTAAAAACAGCAAAATAAAAACTCATTAAGAATTTGGAGACAATGGAAGAAGAAAATCACAGCAAATGAACTGAACTGGTAAGAAAATGTATTCCTGAGCTAGAATGCCAGGAACAATAGCTTACACTTTTCGCTGATATTGAAGATCAAGTTTCCGTTCAACTTCTTTTCGAGTTTCACTGTACTTTTCAACCCGGGCTATGGCAGAGCGAGACGTTTCAATCTCATTCATTATTTCCGTTTCAACAACTGATACTTGATTCCTAATGTCGTCCTGTTATCAAGAGATTCAAATTCTCAATCAGTCGAGTACACCAATCGAAATTCCACAATATGTACCTCTTTATCAACAAAACAAAAAATCTGCCCACCTTAATTTCGGTTTGGTGGTCATTGATAACCTCATATAGGGCACTCTCAGCCAGACCCATTTTATTCATCATATACTCAGGTTCATGATCAAACTCATCATCAGATTCATCACTGTATGAACAAAAAATAATCATATAAAACATTATACAACAATCAATAAGTCTTTCTTAATTTTGAAACAACCTAGGCATGGGAAAGTTATTGGCGATCACCTCAAATAAAGCTCATCACAGGCAAAACGTTTCCCCGCTGTACAGATTTGACTATGATCTTCTTCTTCTTCTTCTTCTTCTACATCATCACTCTCCATCTCTTCATCTGATACACGCATCACAAATCCTCCACCACTCCTTCCTATCCTTTTAACACACCAATTAACATAAGAGACGTTCTATACTTCTATACATTAGCTAAATCAATCAAATCAACAAAAAAACTATATGGATTATCAAGGTTTCTACCACTCTGTTTCCATCCTTTTAACACGCCAATAAACACCACCAATACTAAACCAATCAAAACAAATATTCCTAAGGCCATTGTTATTAATCCTAATTCAATGCAGAACTCCAGAACGAACTAAACATAGATCAAAAGAGATAATATATACCTTAAGGTAGTGTTAGTAATTGGCTGGGGAAACATTGAGAAGCCATTGAGCTTCTTTTCAACAGACTCGATCTCAGCGACCAAACTATCGAAATTCCAATTAGGCTCAGGGTCAATGCTAATCCCATCAACGCTTTTAGGACAAGGAGGTTCCAAAACAATTCCCCTACAAAATCGAAAGAGAAAATCTCAGTAAAATCCCAAAAAGAAACAAATTTTGTATCCGAAGATGAGAAATTCAAAGGAACCCATAAAAGAAGAGAACTTACATTACACAATTCGATGATTCCCTGATAAATAAATAAAAAAGAACACAAGTGGTGAATCCTTGATAAACCCTATAAACCTCTTGTAGCTTCAAAACACAAAACAAGCTGGTTCACTCATAGGATCCTTAAATCAAAATATATTCTTTGTTCCACAAGAGATCTCGTCTCTGGCTTCTTCTCTGGGAGGAGCGACAAAGACGAACTCATGCCTTGTTTTACAAATTCCCATACAGTCAGTCCCTTACCTTTAAATTTAATCCTACTCTCTGATTCTTGTGCTGCACAATCTCGATGATTCTCTAACTCAAATAGAATGCGAGCTTTTTTATCTATCCCAACGGGACGAAGAAGCGTAATATCAACGCTTTAGGATCCGATTTTAACATAAGCTTCCAAAAAAATGGAAACTTTAAGATCGGAGAATCGGAAATCACGAACAAAACCAGACAAGAGAGGATCGGCGTCGTTTTCTAAGCCCTAAGCTAAAACGATGTCGTTTAGAAAACAAATTAAGAAAAAACAAAACCGACGGTTAGAGAGAACCGGTCGGTTTAAAATCAGATCGATCGTCGATTAGATTCTCTAAAGTCCAAACTATAAAGAGGCTTGAGAAAATATTATTAGAGCTAGGCCGTTTCACATAGTCCAGAAGATTGGGTCTGAAAAGGCTTTGTTACATTTTCTCTTTTTTTTTTTTTTTTTTTTTTTAACACTGTTACATTTTCTTTCTTATATGCATTTTTAATAGAAAATTGTTTTTCAAAAAAAAAAAAAAACATTACTTTCGAAAAAGTGAACTAACATAACAAACTACGCAACTATCGTTAAAAGAAACTAGGCTATAGCATGGTTTACGAAATAGCTTTTTCATGATGTAGATTTTTGTGATGAAACGTAAGAAAAAAAAACTTAGATATTCAGTCAAGTTTTGTTTGTTAAATGTTATACTTCTTGCTAGTATTATCAGGGCCGGCCCGCAGGACAGGCCACCCAAGCGGTGGCTCGGGGCACCATAATTTTTTTTTTTTTAAAGTTTTTTTTTTTTTTTTTTGGTAAAAAGAGCCATAAAATGAAAATATTTGGTAGAAACTAAAGTTTTTTTCGAAAAAAATAAATAAAATAGGGCCAAACAATTGAATTTGAATGTAATAATATTCAAAATATCATTATTTTGTATAATTTACTAAAAATAGGTCAAAAAAAAAATTTTAGCCCTAAAACTTATAAATATATTGGGCATCATTTTATTTTTCGTGTAGGACCTCACAAATGCTCGGACCGGCACTGATTATTATAATAGCTTCAAGAAGTTTATGTATATTTGTGATTTTAAAAATGAGATTACTTTTTTTTTTCTTGAAGGTAAGCAAAAATCTCTCTCTTCTTTACAAAGCAACAAAATCTTGTGTTAAGAACAAACACTTGGACGTAGGTTAAACTTCAACGGTCGTTGTTGAGTCCAACGCTTTTAAGTCTCCCTTAACTTATGATTTGTGAAAAAGTGTAATGGAATTTATAATTACGAGAAAAAAAAATTATAATTACGAGACACTAATTGTATCTTGCAAATAAAATTACATTCAAAGTAATTGTATCAATTTTTTTTTTAAAATGTTGATTTTATATATGAATACTAGTTGCAAATGATATGGAACCTTTTTCATTGTTATTACTAGTATAATTCATCATTAATTTTGGTGAAAGCCAACTAGCTAGTGGGAAAGGGTTTTACAAAGTAGCTGGTGTAGTACAATGCTAAAATAGTTGTATTACAGCTGAGATGAATAAATGTCATTGAAATTATTCATATAACTAGGTTAAATAAGTAAATAGATTCAGTAGTTGGTAACGCATTTGGTTTTGGGTATGTACACATTAAACGCATATATCAACTATATAGTTGACAAAATAACATATACTGTTGAAAATGAAAGAAATTGTGACTTAAGCATTCTAGATGTTAATTAATTAGTCTTCCTGAATCAAATAAAAATAGCACCACACAATACCAAAAAAAATGATTAAAACATTTTCATAAAATTTTTTATGTAACAGTTCTCATAATTTGCAATTAATAATAAATCTAGACGGCAACAAAAAAGTATAATTTGCACACAAAAAAAAAGAAGAAGAGAAATCTGCTGCATCTTTCAACATATTAACATTTCTTCAAGAAAATTAGCAATTTGTTAGACTAGTGGTGATGACGAAAATACTGCTCAAATTGATGCAATGGTAAAAAGGCTTTTGATGAATTTTTTTTTTTTTTTGGTGAAAAGGTTTTTGATGATATATCATACGTTGATTAACACGGACAAGAGACGAACTAATATTAAAGAAAATGTTTTTTAAAAAAAATGTTAAAAACAATACCCAATAATTAATTTGTTATATGAATAGTAAAGGAAGAAGAACAATTTATGACAGATACATATACTTCTCAACCCTCTATCTCTCTCTATAAATATGACTATTGTCAAATTGATTCTCCAACACACAAAATAACTTCATACAAGAAATGACATCAAAAGAGCCAAAACACATGTTTTGCGTTTTCCCATTCTTCTGTTTCTTCTTCTCATTCATTGCACAACACACCGTCCCAAACATGGCTTATCCTCTCTCCACAAGCTCCCGTTGGATCGTCGACGAGAATGGTCAACGGGTGAAGCTTATGTGTGCGAACTGGCCATCACACCTCCAACCAGTTGTAGCGGAAGGGCTGAGCAAGCAACCAGCGGACGCAGTGGCCAAGAAGATAGTGGAAATGGGTTTCAATTGTGTTAGGTTAACTTGGCCGTTGGATTTGATGACTAATGAGACATTAGCTAATAATGTCACAGTGAGACAATCTTTTCAAAGCCTTGGTCTTAATGATGACATTGTTGGCTTCCAAACTAACAACCCTTCCATTATTGATCTCTCCCTCATTGAAGCTTACAAGGTACTCTTACAATATCTCCCATCACTTAATTCTAAGTTTTAATGCGTTTCATTTTATGATTTTTTTTTGGTTGTGATTGTGATTTGTGAGGTAATTTATCTTGTGCTAGTTACATTGCCATTTAAATTTGACCAAAAAGAAATTTAGCGTGTTAGATTGAATTCTCTCATGCAAATACTGTAAGATATATCGTACGTATATATATGCATAGATATACACTGCACGTTAGTACATCCTTTTCATGTGTCATGTGATTATATCAATTTTTCTAATTTTTCGTATAAAGTTTAAAACTAACAAGACATATAGGGCGGTAGATGGACTTATGTTTTAAACTTGTAGGGAAATATGTCTTTAAACATTAAAATATATCTGTTCAACAAATGTTGTAAGTCCAAATAAATTAATAATTAACTTCTATTCATTTTTTAAGAAATTGATAGAAGAACGATGTTTCAAGTTTCAATGTTGCTTATCAAACTGCTACACGTATTGAAATTGTAGAAGAACCAAACTGACTAGAGAACACGTCAACTCTTGAAGGAAAATTTACATATATACAAAAACCATAATCAATTTTTAGTTGGGGTTTGGTTGGGAATTGTTATAAAAGTGGTCTTAGACTTAGATTAAACAAAATTTCTGAAAAGAGAGAAACATAATATTCCGGTACGGTCTATGCTGAGATATGTCATTAGTCGATATCTTAATTAAAAATTGTTTGGTAGTAGTGGGTAAATGTGAAGTTAATGCAACTCCAGAACAAAAAAACACTCGTGACGTTTGTTTGGCCTTTTTCCTTTTCTGCTCAAATAAACTAAGTATATTCTGAAGGACTTGTTCTGTTCTTAATGTGGTATATATAATGCATGCATCTGTATCGATATTTATTGCATATATGATTCTTTGAAGATGATCTAGACGTTATGAATCATGTTGTACCCAAAAGTTGGTAACTTATTTCGTGAAGGATTTTAGTCTTTGTTCCTGATTTTAAAAAACTACTATTTCATGTTTAGTAAGCAATTTCATAGTTAAATAAGTTACATAAATTACAATGAAAATGAAAAAAAGATGAAACATATTGGATGTCGCACGGAAACTTATCTAAAGCATAAGGAATAAGATCACATGCCATGAAAATGTTAAATCCATGTGATCAGGATGTGATAAAACTAAAATCAGCAATCTTAACCGAAGCCGCAATCTTGTAATAGAAAAAAAAAAGAGGTGAAAGTGAAATGTGAGTGATGATATAGTCTTCTTTTTATTTTTCTGCAGATGGTAGTTACTACATTAGGAAACAACGACGTGATGGTGATATTAGACAACCACCTAACCAAACCAGGGTGGTGCTGCGCCAACGACGATGGTAACGGTTTCTTCGGTGACCAGTTTTTCGATCCTACCGTATGGGTTGCCGCTTTAAAGAAAATGGCGGCGACTTTCGACGGTGTCTCTAATGTCGTTGGCATGAGTCTAAGGAATGAACTTAGAGGGCCTAAACAAAACGTTAACGATTGGTTCAAGTACGGTAACGTTATTATTTAGTCTATATGCGCATATATATACATATATTTTAGTTATAGAGTTTAATGTACGTAGGTATATGCAACAAGGAGCGGAAGCAGTTCATTCATCAAACAAGAAGGTACTTGTAATCCTCTCCGGTCTCAGCTTCGACGCCGATCTCTCCTTCGTTAGGTCTCGACCCGTAAACCTATCCTTCACTGGAAAACTTGTCTTCGAGCTCCATTGGTATTCTTTCAGTGACGGAAACTCGTGGGCGGCCAATAACCCTAACGATATATGCGGTCGGGTTCTAAACCGGATTGGAAACGGTGGCGGTTATCTCCTTAACCAAGGCTTTCCGTTGTTCCTCAGCGAATTCGGTATAGATGAAAGAGGAGTAAACACCAATGATAACCGGTATTTCGGGTGTGTAACCGGTTGGGCCGCGGAAAATGACGTCGATTGGTCGCTTTGGGCCCTTACTGGAAGCTATTACTTAAGACAAGGCGTGGTCGGGATGATTGAGTATTATGGTGTGTTGGATTCGGATTGGATAAGCGTTCGGAATTCAAGTTTCTTGCAAAAGATCTCTTTTCTTCAATCTCCGCTTCAAGGTGCATATATGGCAAAAATTACTAGAGTTTAATTGCAACAAATAGTTTCGTTAAAATTTCTAAAGTTTTGAATTGATTTGGTTTACTAGGACCGGGACCTCGAATTGATGCTTACAATCTGGTTTTCCATCCCTTAACTGGACTCTGCATAGTACGATCTCTTGATGACCCAAAAATGCTTACTCTTGGTCCATGCAATAGCTCTGAACCATGGAGCTACACAAAAAAAGCACTAAGAATTAAAGACCAGCATTTGTGTTTACAGAGCAACGGACCAAAAAACCCGGTTACGATGACTAGGACGAGTTGTTCGACATCTGGATCAAAATGGCAGACCATCTCGGCCTCTAGAATGCACTTATCTTCGACAACAAGTAACAAGACTTCTCTTTGCCTTGACGTAGACACAGCCAACAATATCGTTGCTAATGCTTGC